AACAGACACATCCTAGGATCACTTGAAATCTTTTTATCTAGTACTACTTTTCAAGCGGGGGGTATAATGAAAGAAATACTGTTTTCTGAGCCAAAATCGTAAAAAAAAACCTTTTTGTCACAAGCAATCTCTGTATCAAGTATGAGCTTACAGATATTCTCGATTACATATAAATGATGCAACAAAACATTAATTCTTTCTCCAGTGACCTTGAATTTAATATTGCCTTGAATATATAAATACAATGACACATCCTAGGATCACTTGAAATCTTTGTATCCCCCTTTGTGTTATAGCCTGACCTTCTGGGAAAAACTTTAAGTGGCAGACAGACATATGGACAGTTAAAAACCGTTTAATTCCCATTCCATCTAACACAAAATACACAATTACTTTGCAAGGGAAAACTCTAGTCATGATTTGAAAAAAAGTAATCTTTTTTATATCAGGAAACTTTCATAAATATGGTTTCTCATTCTTGCCCTGAAGTTCGTTAGAATAATACTTTAAAACGACCCCTTCTTACTTTTTACTAACCGTTTTCTTCATTGTTTTCATTTTATATCCCCCAAGGTCGCCCGCATAGCGCAATGATTAGAGCGTCTGTTCTGTAGTAGCGAAGTAAGGAGTTGATCCTTACGTCGTGGTTCGAATCCCACTGTGGGACGTGGGGACCTGTCCTTCCGATGAGACCGTATAAAACAAGGTCCTGTGTCGCTTTAGGTTCTGGCACAAAAAAGATCCCTTCCTGCTCAAAGGCACTAAGTGCCGATTATAAGACAATTAATGTTTAACTATGGTGCCGGTTATGATTTTAATAGTTTAAATTAGGTCATAAAAGTGTGTAATTACATGATAAGTTTGTGATATTCAGTAGCTGTAGATTGTTATTATACATGTATATAAGTTCTTAAATTTTCGATTCTGTACATACGATGCGGGTTTATTACTACTTACATGTTCATTGTATAACCTGCTACTGATATTTTTAAAATCACGGAACAAAATTAAAATGTTAGCACACTATACTAATCATTTACAGGTTTTGAATAAATTATAAAACAAATAAAATTCATTGCTTTAAAATCTTGAATTATTTTTTCAACTTTACTATCAAACCTGTAATATAAATAAGCATTGTGCAGCACAGAAGTCACTAATAAAGTTTAAACGTGCCGGTGATACTTATTGATGTTTAGTCCATTTCATTAATGAGTAAAATTCTTAATAGATCCTTATGATTCGGAAGATTTTCTTTAAAATTTAAAACTGAAATAGCTATGTGTAAAAATCTGTGATGAACAAAAAAAATGTGTATTTGGGAAAATTTGTGTTGAAAACGGATTTATTTGTGAGTTAAAAGCGCTAATTAAGCTTTTTTAAATCAATATTTGTTGAAGTAAAGTAACCGCAGATCGCCAGTCCTTGACCATGAATGTCAAAACGAAAGTAAAATTACACATGGAGCTAACGAACTATAAAAATTGAAGACTGATTAATGTACATGTAAATAAATACCCCAACGTTTTGTTCTAAAGTCAAACCTAAGATATTTTAAAATATTTTTGACAGATTCATTTACTTACAGAAAATAATGTTTTCCGTAAGTTTGTAAAGGATTTAACATTCGACCACGCTGTGTAAATTAATGTCAACAAGCGATGAAGGATTGGTTTGTCGCGTAATTGTAAACAAACACAAAACCAAGATAGCTGTTTTTAGATAAACATGTACACACAAATTTAAAACTTGGTGATAAAGCAACATTATCAGTGGAGTTGATACCAAAAGTAATGTCACAGTGTCCATATCTTTTATATCTGGCGTCATATTATCAAATATTATGTACAAAAAGATGCACAAATATAAATTTAATTAAGATTTAATTTTCCATTCAATAATGTTTAACTGAATTTATTTTACAGATGTTTAAAACATATAAGTTAGGGGCTGTCGCCGCGTCAAAACCGAACGTCATAAATTAAAGTGTACTTTTTTTAGTATAAAAAAGACAAACACTTAAAAAACATTTTTAAAAGCGCCTAAACGCAAAATACTTTAAAAGACAAAAGTTTACATCATTTTCTAGTCTTAAATTGAAAATTATATGACATCACTGCTATTTTTTTATGAAAAACATCGTTGATTTATTCCGGCGCATTGAAAAAAAGGAAAGGTCAAAATGGACAAAAAAGCCAAAACAAACTGTAATGCATTTTTGCTTCAAAATGGAGAAATCGCCAGTAGAGAAAGTTACGTTGATTCACCAGACTTTCAGATGAAAGAATGTAAATCAGAGACTTATTTAACTTATTTAGATGGTTTCGACGATTTTGGGTCGGTGATGGGTCATTCAATGCTCAGCAGATGTTAAATCAATATTGACAAGAAAACCGAAAGATGGGAGGGCGGACGGAAATTTTCAATGGTGTGAGACGTTGTAAAAATATACATTTAGAACGATACGTGAAATTTTAAGTTGGTCTTTTACTACATGTTCAATCAATTTTGACAGAATTAATTATGAAAAGAGTGAGTGAACGATGGGTACTTATTTTAAGAAAAAGAAATTTGTGAACGTCGTCGTGGATATCAAATCTCAATATTTTTAATAAAATAAGGGAAGCGTTTAAATGTATGACGGCGCGTATCGTCATATGACGTTACTTAGCTGCGGCGACTACCATAATCGCACGATGTATATAATCCGATATTTTGAAAAGTATAAAACATGTTGAATTGAAATTTCCACATTTGAAATAAATATAGCTTTCATCATTTTTAATTTTGTTGTTTTACGTCGATGGATAGCGATTTTATCGAAGTTGTGACATTACTTTTGGATCAACCCTCGTATTAATCTCAAATATCGGACAATAATAATTTTCCATTAATTGTAAAATGGTTTTAATACACCAATTATTTTGCCTATGACTGCGGGGTCAATGGTTCGCCGCGGCGTGTCGCTTAAGATTTTCTTGGATGCGTGTAATCGTAAGATTACGCAGCAATGGTCAACACACTTAAAATCTGGGTTCCAGGTGAATGTGAGAATTGCGCAGTAAATACTTTTTGTATTATTTGACTCTTTAAAAGTTCTTTTTATGAGATCCGGGCGTGTATCGTTTTCGTTCATATTGTTTGTGTTCATATTTTAACGAAGAAAAGCTTTTTTCTAAAACTCTTTCTCTTGGAAACATCTTGATTAATAAAAGGAAAATGATGCCATTGAATACTCTGAACGGGAACCAAAGAAAACGTTCAAAACCTAATTAAAAAAAGAGATGTGATACAGCATTGTAAAATATTTATTATTTACGGCAAGTTTACTTCAATTCTGCGCATTAAGACTACAGAGTTTTCCTTCAATAGCAAGATGAGAACTGCCTAGCTTTCTTTCCTATAATACGTAAGACTCGAACAAAATAATATTTTTATAGGACAGAGATAGTATTAAGGTACAATTTTATATATTAAAAGAATGAATTTAACCATTCTGTGTTTTTATTTGTGTATAACTGTGGGTCGCTGGATTACCCGCCGATTGATTACCGGTGACCGACTTTGCCCGCGCTATCGAGGGAGGCGTGTTATATAATTGTAAACAAACAAGGTGAATGTAATCCGAAAAACGCTACCTGTTTACCTTGCCTGCTTTCTACCGCGTTATTACCAATATTCCCGGCATAATCGAACAAAACAGCATTTTCATCAGATCAAAAAGGTGTAAAAGAGCAATTTTGTTCGTAAGATCTAGATCGAAATATTTACCGTTTTTGAGTTATAAAGCAAAAACTTTAAAGTTCCATAGAGCCCTTATTATAGGGGCCAGCCCCTTTTGAATAGTATTACATGAAAGCCCTTGCAATTATGCACAACTTTTGTTCATTATGTTTTAACAAAATATTTTTAGTTTTCAAGATAAAAAGGAAAATATGTGTAAATTTTCGCTCTTTTAGGCGTTCTAATTTTTGACCCCTATATAGCGCCATTGTGAATACAGAAATCGAAAAACAAAAACCGATGTGCACAACTTCAATCCTTCTGTTACCTAAAATCAGTAAAAATTCTGTTCCAGTTTTTGTGGTCTCTGAGCCTTTATCCGGAAACGAAAACCTATAAATTTTCGTTTAAAGGGGAAAAACTCAAAAGCGGAAGTGAATTTTTGAAATGTTAGATAGCACTCTGATAGAATTTAATGATGTCTACAATGTCTGAAAATTTGAGCGAAATACGTTGATAAATGAGTGAGATATGAGGCCTCAAAGTTGGCGTCTAGGAAGTAGAAGAAAAAAAAAAGAACTAGAGCAAAGCTCGTTGCAAAGCAACGAGTGGGTCTTCCTTCCAAGCGATAAGCAAAAGATTAAATGTTTCTGTCTAGATTGTCAACTTTGCTAACATTCTCTTTTTCGATTTGTCTCAAAAACCCTTACTTGAATTCTTTAATTTGGTGTGAGCATGAGGTCTAAAGGGTACTCTCTCTAACAGCATTCTTGAAATCGTATCCACAACAGTTAAACTTCCAATATTATGACTTTTGATATCGGATATATCATCTTTGTTACAATTATGTTTATGAAACGTGTCATACTACAGAAACATAAGTGTTTTGCTACATTACCATCTTAAAAATGGCTTAAAAATCATTTAATATACAATATAACTAGGTAAATAAAATAAACAAATTTTTATATAATAAATCAAAAAATCCAAATGTATTTACAATAATGATGAACAATCTTCATTAGTTGCAATCAGTAAGTAGAACAATACTTTTATAATAAACGCACAGAAATGTGTTGTGTATATTTCGAATTTGCAGCTTTCCACTAGCAACTGGTGGTACCTCAATAGGAGTGTAAAATTCTCTGAAAGGTATATTGTAAACATATTACATATGGCTGTGTATTCTTTTTTAGCGGCTTTTGTGGAATGCAGCAATCACTAAATCAAGTACAAAGCTAAAAGTTTTGTGCATAAATATAAATAAGAATATCTACGCTAACTTATTCAAAAGTCAATTTCCACCAAATATTGTACATGCTAAATATAATACATTTACAGCATTAAAGAAACAAATCTCTTTGAAAGTATTGCCCTGCATAAGAACAATTTGAATCCCCTACACTAAGGATGCTCTATGCCAAGTTTCACTTTGGTTCTGGAAAATGATATTGTGAAATTTTAGACAATGATGATAATGGATAAAATTATGTTTTTAAAAAATTTACTTGTTCTTTTAGCTCAGATGGGCTAATAAGTATGCAACAGGCACAGTTTTGCAGTTGACATTGAAATGTGACTGGACATCTCTTTAATCTTGTTTTAGAAAACTACATGTACATGCCCTATGTATTGAATTCCTTGGAATCATACACATGTATATGACTTTATTTAATTGTATGTGCCAAAATAATTTTTTTTTTACATTATACTGTAAAAATACACATACATGTATTACAAGATCTTATATTCCTGCTGAAGACAGAGGATCTATCTAAATCATTAGAATAAGTAAGTCTAAACTTTGAAAGGGAAGACCTTAATAAAGAGGTCAACATGCAACACAAACAAAATATTATTATATTTAAAAATAACATTTTGTCCAATGTAATTACTGGTACATGTATTTCTGTTACAAAAACTATTTCACTTGAAAAACCGAGAGCAATTGATATGCTCATATTTGTGGATTTATGTTGTGAAATCAAAATTTAAAAATGATACACAGTGTGTTTAAAAGTTGTCGTCACAAACCAAAACTTGACTTATTTTCACTATGCTGTTTATTCCATGTCACATCCAAACAGATGATCTTCTGGCAAATCACGGTCATGCTTGGTATCAAAATTCAGTATTCAGATGAGTCACACCTATCAAAAAGAAATTGAAATTTTTTAATTTATAATTCTTTTATCAATAAAACATGCAATTCATGAGATTATAAATTAGATTATAAAATTGAGTTCTAAGATATTGTCACATTTTCCCTGTATAATTTGTAAATTTTAATGTACTCTTTCATCAATTAAAAGAAGTTTACACCAATCAAGGCAGTCATTTATGCTATTCCCTAATAAGACAACATACAAGTGCAAAGTAATAATGCACTAGCGGGTCTAGGATAATGTGCTAGAGTATTTATGACAACATACTAGCACGAGGTGACAATGTGCTAGCATGTACGTCAGATATAATATGCCAGCACACTGAATCCAACACGCAGTGAAGCTAACACTCAACAGATTGTTTAGAGTTGTGTTTGCATGATATTTTGTTTTGTGTTAACACAGCAGCCTGTTGTTTAAAGCTGCATTGGAGTGGCAGTCTGTTGAAATTAACATGCTAACACACTGCAACTTCACATCATTGGAACACCATAATTTTAATAACTGGCAAACCAATATCTTATGATTACTAACTAGGTAATTGCAACTGTAAATGCTGATTTCATGTTGACAATAATACCGGTAATTCACTGTATATCTGAGAACTGATCAATCATAATAAGGTGTGTCCAGATAGGGCCACTTGCTAAAGCTCAATAGCACTTTCATAAAAACGTGCCATCTTACTGACACAAAAGATGCCATTAGGCTATCACACAGCTCGCCATCACAACACTGAAAAACACTTTCGCACTAACACAAGTTTGCACCACACGCTGTCACACTAACACACAACACACACTGTGACGCTAATACAATTTCACACAACAAAATATCAGGCTAACACAAGTTCACACAACACACTATCATGCTAACACGAATTCACAAACACGCTGTCTTGCTAACACAAGTTCACACAACACGCTGTCTGGCTAACACAAGTTTACACAACACGCAGTCTCGCTAATATGAGTTCATACAACACACTGTCTAGCTAACACAAGTTCACACAACACACTGTCACGCTTAGATGAATTCACACAACACACTGTCATGCTAACATGAGTTTACACAACACGCAATCTCACTAACATGAAATTACACAATACACTGTCACGCTAACACGAGTTTACACAATACACTGTCACGCTAACACAAAGTCACAAAACAGGCTGTCTCACTATTCACTGACACAAGTTCGCACCAAACGCTGTTGCGATAACACACTGTCATCCTAAAACCATTTTCACACAACACACTGTCATCCTAATACCATTTCACACAACACACTGTCAGGCTAACACGAGTTCACACAACACACTGTCACGCTAACACAAATTCACAAAACAGGCTGTCTCACTATTCACTTACACAAGTTCGCACCAAACGCTGTTGCGATAACACACTGTCATCCTAATACCATTTCACACAACACACTGTAATCTTAATACCATTTTACAAAACACACTGTCAGGCTAACACGAGTTTACACAACACACTGTCACGCTAACACAAATTCAAAATACATGCAATATCGCTAACACGAGTTCACACAACACGCTGTCTCTCTAACACGAGTTTACATAACACACAGTCTCGCTAACAAGAGTTCACACAATATGCAATATCGCTAACACAATTTCACACAACACACTGTCTCTCTAACACCAGTTCACACGACAAATTTTCAGGATAACACAAGTTCACACAACACACTGACACGCTAGCTCAAATTCACACAACATGCTGTTCGTTAATAAGAGTTCACACAACACGCTGTCTCGCTAACATGAGTTTACACAACACGCAGTCTCGCTAACCCGAGTTTACACAACACGCAGTCTCACTAACACAAGTTTACACAACACGAAGTCTCGCTAATACGAGTTCAATCAACACTCTGTCTAGCTAACACGAGTTTACACAACACACTGTCACACTTACACTTTATACACGATTTCACACAACACGCTGTCTCGCTTACACTAGTTTACGCAACAGCTAACAAGTATTCACACAACCCACTGTCAGACTAACACAATTTCATACAACACACTGTCTTGCTAACACAAGTTCACACAACACACTCACATTGCTGAGTTTAAAGTAAAGGTCTACCCTAATTTGAAGACGTTTAACACTATATGGTAACATATCTCTATATAATGCCCTGTTCACATGGAGAATTTAATTCGCAGTAAATTAATGCGAAGTAAACTAATGCGAATCAAACTAATGCGAATTAAATTGCGTTCACACGACAGCTAATGCGAAGTAAACTAATGCGAATTAAAATTTTACTTCGACAGTCAGGCGTGAGGAAGGCTATTATGATGTCATTTGCAAATCACGTCACCTTATGCAGAAGCAGATGCATTTGACATAATGTCACAGTGTCTGGAGACATATTTTAGTGATTAACACATTTTTTCTTAAATTTTCACACAAAAATAGCACAAGCACTTCAAGCTGACCACCGAAATGACGCATTTTACTTAATTTTGCCATTACGCATGCCCCAAAATTTAATTCGAATTAGCTTCGCTTAGCGTTCACACGGAGCTAATGCGAAGTAATTTAATGCGCAGTAAACTAATGCGAAGTAAACTAATTTGCATTAAATTCTCCGTGTGAACGCTAAGCGAAGCTGATTCGCAGTAAACTTATGTTTAATTCGAATTAAACTCTCCGTGTGAACAGGGCATTAGTAAAGAGCTTCAAATTTAAGACAAAAACATTTATGCAGTAATGTTCCTTAACATGCATCCGGCATATAAAATGAATGAGACCTTAAAAACCTCACAGTACATGTTTACTTAAGTTAGCTAAGTAAAGGTCTATGTGATGCTATTCAACAGTATATATCAACATCTCTAAGTTATGAATAAGTGAAATTCTCAAATAAATATTATCAATCAAAGTATCAATAAGAAATTGAACCTTACGTCTCAGGCTCCAATCCCATTGCTAAATGCTTTAGACAGGTTACTCCTATGAGACTGCATAAACCAAGATTCTGTGTCATGGTAGGTGTTAGCACAAAATGGATCTCATACTTCTTAAAGGCAATAAGTGCTAAGTACAAGTCTATATTTGCAGCTAATACCATCCCAAGTGGTGGCACCATGAAATGACTGAAAATGTATGATTAAGGCAAATAAACAAACATTAAACCATTACAGCAGTCTTATCAAACAAAAAAGCAAACTTTCTATTATTACAATTTTTTTAAACAAATTTCTTTTGCAATTTAACTGAGCAATATTTGTCCTTTTTTGTCAGTAAAGTATGATATCAAAAAAATTCAGACTTTTTGAAAACATCTATTTATAGCGAGTCCAGACAGCAGCACAAATCCCTGCCCATAATGCGAGCTCTTATGATAACACCTCGGCAAAAGAAGATTTGACTTGCACATTGCTCCACACAATTTTTCCGCAGTATACTTTGGACCCACAGTGCTTAGCTTCTTTAACATGTTTAAGCTACATTCAAAATTCATTTCTATTTAATTTGAATTAGCTATCCTTAGTCATGTTCACATGGAGCTAATGGGAAGTAATTTAACGAGCAGTGAAATCATTCGAATTAAACATTTGAATAAACTCTCAGTGTGAACACTGTGCATGGATGCACCATTATGTCAAATGCGGCTTGACAAGCACAATCTAAATTAAAACTAAATAAGTATCTGCCTTCACCCTAACAGTCACACTGTCAATATATAATTAGTTGAATATATTCTGTAACACTAAGTGCAGTTTGAATTATAGGGTATGATCACTATGATAGATAGTAGGACTGTTGTGTTGGAATTTTTGCATTTTTGGTTTTGAAAGTAACAGTGACTGAGTGAGTAAGGCTTGTTGAAATTACATTCTCAAATTAAAAAAAAAAGTATAATATAAAGCTGTGGGGATTTACAAGCCAAACAGGGAGCGTCTGAACTGTAAAACAGATAATATATCGGTGTGTCTGTGTATTTCTAATAATATCAATGTATGTCACTGTCATGTATTTTAAGTAATAAAAAAATATTCTAACCTTCATTCCAATGGTCCAAGCCAATCATACATTAAAATGTCGCCGTCAGCTCTTTCATCACTCGATGCAATTATCACTAGGAAATCCCAAGCAGAGTCAAGAGTGCTCATCCTTGTTAATGTGACAGTTGGAATTTCCTCGTAAACAATTCACACAAGTTTCTTAGAATATATGAATCTGAATAATTCTGCTTAGAATAATGTTCCAGAGGAGTGACAAAGTACTTCGTAGCTGCAGATTAAATGAGTGTGCATGTCTACATACGTATTCTTTGGTGAGAAAACGTTCAACTTCACAAATCATTCTATTTTCAGTTTGTAAACATGTGTCCGACATCGACTCGAAGGGGCACACTAAAAACGGGATATACTAGAGACCTGATATTTACCTGACGTTTTAATTTTTTAATTAAATGGTAATATTGAGTATTTTAACTTACTTATATACAGACTTTATGACTTCGAGGCATATGCTATACAAAAATTCAATTGTTTGGAACATTCACAGACAAATTTGAATCAGGTCAAATCAGTGTTTAGTACATCGCGTCTTTAGTACCTTCCTATTTCCCACAATGCCGCGCGTTGTTTACAAACAAAAATCCTCTAAACTAGGTACTAATTATTGTTGTGTACATCATCACATTTTAAAATTATTTGAATAAAAAGAAAACAAAGAAACACCGAATCAAAACTATATCTTTTAGATGCATCAACTAAAAATGTGCACATGCAGTAAAGGCTTGGCTGGCTATAGTAGACAACTTGTTCCTGAAAGGTTTCTCACATACTTGTTTTATATAAAAAACAATTAAATATAGCTGGAAGTTTATTTCTTTTTATATCAAATGACAAGATTTAATAAGTTCGAAATTATTTCAGTCAAACTTTTTCATAATATACCAATATTTTAGCTATCAGAAAAAAACGTGTATGAGCTATTAACCCCTTAATTATAGGGGCCAGCCCCTTTTAATTAATCTAATATGAAAGCTCTCGTAATTACACACAACTTTTGTTATATATTTCTTACCAAAATATTCTCGGTTCAAAAGTTATTGCACAAAAAGTAGCAAAAATTCAAGAAAAAAAATTACTAAAATTTGCCGTTTTATAGCTTCCAAACTTTAGGAAATCAGCTTATAATTTTATCGTTCTGCACATCTACAATGTATTGGCTACAAGTTCTCCAACTTTCGTGTAAATATCTTACGTCGTTCTTGAGATTCTTAGTGGAAACGAGACATCAAAAATTTCAATTAAAGGGCAATAACTCACATTTAAAGGCATGCATCAAAAAATTGAAAACAGGTGTAAATAGGTTTAATTACAAGGTATCTAACCTGAAAGTTTCATAAAAATCAGTCCAAAGGTCTTTGAGAAATCGCCTGTCAAAAATCGAGCGGGAAAAAAAAAATATAATAATAATAAGAAACAGTAGAATAACAGTAGGGTCTTCCGAAGGAAGCGGAAGACCCTAATAATAATCTTGACCAACAGAATCAGTAGAAGGTCTTCCGTTGGAAACGGAAGACCTTAATTAACATTTACTAACTATTAGTGCATGTATTACAAATTTATATGTGTGTTTTCTACATTGTGCAGAAATGCTTTAATTTAGGATAATTCAGGAGAATTAAGAGTTTCGGGTGAGGGAAGCGTAATGGCCTGGGGTAGAATTTAATTAATTAGTTATTTTTTTAATGATTTAATTGTGTCAACATTTATTGGGAATATTATCTGGGTAGATTTTATTATGCATTAACTACAGTACTACATTTCAGTCCTTTGATTATTTACTCAACGTGGTATTGTCTATTTTTAGCACATTTGACATACTTGTTGTTTGGATTTATACAGGAAATCCTACATTTTATGAATTCATGTGCATACCTTCAGAATCTTTGCATGTTGCTGTATTTTACTTGATTATTTTTGAGTCAAATAAGCGCTTGACAATAGCCACAATTGCACACGATTGTTGGAGTCATGGAAGTTGTTTACAACCCGCCGACATCTTATTTGTATTAGCCAGAGTTTCGTATTTTAGCAAGTTGTATTTTGTTATGCAATTCGATGTTATAATTGCTTGTGAATATCCACAAAATTAATGTTTGAATATGTTTTACTAAGATTTATCAAGGGTTTTTACGTTAAACGGGATTTAATGGTAGTTACATATTTTTACTTTGACAAAGCTATGTGAATATCGTCTGCTTATACGATTGCAGTTTTCTATCATGAAATACGCGTTTAATTCACATGGATTGTTTACTTACTTATTATAGACACATCTTTTGTAATCCATATATATTTTTTTAATGATTTAATTGTGTCAAAATTTATTGGGAAAATTATCTTGGTGGATTTCATTATGCATCAACTACACAACTACATTTCAGTCCTTTGATTATTTACTCAAAGTGGTATTTTCTATTTTTAGCACATTTGACATACTTGTTTGGATTTATACGGGAAATCCTACATTTTATGAATTCATGTGCATACCTTCAGAATCTTTGCATGTTGCTGTATTTTACTTGATTATTTATGAGTCAATAAGCGCTTGATAATAGCCACAATTGCACACGATTGTTGGAGTCATGGAAGTTGTTTACAACCCGCCGACATCTTATTTGTATTAGCCAGAGTTTCGTATTTTAGCAAGTTGTATTTTGTTATGCAATTCGATGTTATAATTGCTTGTGAATATCCACAAAATTAATGTTTGAATATGTTTTACTAAGATTTATCAAGGGTTTTTACGTTAAACGGGATTTAATGGTAGTTACATATTTTTACTTTGACAAAGCTATGTGAATATCGTCTGCTTATACGATTGCAGTTTTCTATCATGAAATACGCGTTTAATTCACATGGATTGTTTACTTACTTATTATAGACACATCTTTTGTAATCCATATATATTTATTGGTTATTTTGTCTTTTCTCATTTTAATTCCGTTTTGTAGTTATTATCCCCATTGTACGACAGCCTTGTTTGACACTGTTTGACAGATCTCTGTTTGTACGGTACCGTACAGTGCCGTGATTGGTGGAACGTCGCCGTACAGCTTTTTCATTGGTTAATTCGTGTCACCTGACTACTTCCGAAGGTTATAAATACAAGTGCCTCGCCAGTCTATATGGCAGATAGAGTTGCAGAAGCAACATCGCAGGAGTAGCCTAATCCTAGGTGAGACAACTGTAAATTATCTCCCAACACACTGGACACCTGATGTTAGATTCTATCAGAGCTTTCTAATGCCAAATCAACTTTCTTACTATTTTTTACCATTAAAGTACGGTTGACATTAAGGATCAAAAACGAATATTAATTATCTATATGTATCTAATATAGATGTTTGTTTACCTATTGTTATTTCCTGTTGAATGATCAATTAATAAACCAATTATTAAACTGATACCAAGCCTTGTCCTTACTGAGAAGTTGCATTACTGAAAAATATGAAACAAGTAATAAGGAGTGACCTTGAGAAGTGTTGTGTGTTATTATTTTGTATAGCCCCCATTCCAGGATGGCCATCCGTGGGGAGCTTACAATATAATGGCAATGTCCATGTTTTGCTATGGGAAACCTAAAATACGTGTCGAATGAAAAAGTAAAATAGGATGTGCACAATGGCAATATGTAATCAAGATTCTGTGAAAGTTTCATTAAATTTCACTCAGTAGTATAAGTGGAGTTGCGGTTAAGAGATAAAGCGTAACAGACGGACGGACGGACGGCTGTACAGACGGACGGAAATCCCGATTACTAATCAATACTTTTCAAGCGGGGGTATAACAATCGGCCTTAAACTCCATATTCACATGTGCATCAGGTGTAAATTGATTTATTTTTTTAAATAATTACTTGGTTTTACTTCAATATTTATCAGGATTGTAGCAAATTCAAAAGATCGTAATTATTCTTAATTATTTCATATTTACTTCAGTTTTTTTTTGATAAAAGTGATTGTATTTTTGTTTTATTTTTTATTAAGTGTGTTTGAAAATTTTATCACGTCTTTCCTGTTTTGAGTCCTGTTCACATATCCGTTTTGTTTAAATATAGTGATAATGAACGGTATTCAAGTCCAATACAGCAATACGGAAGCAGATCAAACACGGACCTCCAAAAACATCGAATGCCATGGAGGAATGAACATCCCCTGCCGACCAGTCACATCCTCTGTCATGATCGGGAAATAACGGGAAAATTTGTGGACAATTAAGTAAATAACGTCTTAACAATAAGTGTGAAAAACGTCGGTTAGCATTTGATGATTGCTGACAAGGTCGTTGTATCGATCATAGAACTTACAAAATGATGTCTTTAAACGAGACTGCTGTGAAGTTTTGTATTTACATGCAGCATGTATATAAACTTCATATTTTCTATATAATTACGTATAATAACAACAACGACGTTATAGAGGAACGTTTAGATGTAAAACACAAAATATATTATTTCTTATAATAATCTAATAATCTACCTCTTAATTGTCCAATTAAGTGAATAACTATAATATCATCCATTATTTCATTAATTTAATTAACATATATATATGTACTGTTATTAGTACAAGCTCCATTTCATTTTACCTTTTGTCCTTTTTTATTCATGAGAAAATACTTAATCTGTACAGGCACGAGTACAATGCATAAAGTTTGTTTTATACAATGTCTTGTGTTCCTCATTCTACAAAATGTACTTTTTGGTCTCTCTCTTCTGGTTGTTAATAATACAGTAACTGATGTTTCCTCTTTAAATTCCACCCCGAGGAAGGAGTCCGGAATTCTGCGAGACATTTTGAATCAAATCAAGAGAGTATGGTGAGATTCTCCATGGTTCAGAAATGCAAGAGTTTACAATGGACGTCATAGAAATGAAGAAAAATAACGATTTTTTGATGAGAAAACTTGAAGTTTTGACAGAGGAACAAATTACTTCAAAGGAGAAAATGTGTGAATTAAGAAAAGAAAATGAAAATATGAAATACCAGATAAGTGCCCTATAGAATGATGTGAATGACGTGAACATTTCCTTAGAGAAAGTGAGTATTATTTGTGGGACTTATGGGAAAGAAATAAATGAACTACGTCGAATATGTCAGAACCAGCGTTAAAACGTTACAGATGTCAGAGAAAATATGGCCGAAAAGCAGGAGATGGATCAACAAAGAGCAGCGTTGAAGATGATGGAAGATGAACTCCAAACTTTGTTCCTTACAGTAAACTCAACAATACATGGCACTGTTAGAGACTCAGGCCATCCATTGGCTATGGTGTCGGCCAATGTTTGCATCTCTGAATCTTTAGCAGTCATGTCCTTAATTTCTTGAATTCTGACATCTGGTACGTCGTTTTCTTGTAACGTCGAGACAGATAGAATCCTGTGACGTTCATCTACACTTCCTTCTGTTGTCATGAGAAAAGCTCGGCTTAGCGTATCCGCTATAACCAGGTTTACTACTTTCTCAAATACGAATTCTACATCATAACTGAAGTAACGCATCATAATGTCTTGCAGTCTTTTAGGTGCTAATCCTACTGGTTTGCGCAATATAGCAGATAATGGTTTGTGATCATTATGGATGAAGACTTTCCTTCCATAAGTGTACTGATCAAAGCGTTCAAGTCCATAGAGAACTGATAAAGCTTCCTTTTCTATCTGAGCCCATTTTCTCTCTGCTTGTGTAAGAGCTCTTGATGCGTACTCGACCGGCTTTCCATCTTGGAGTAGTACGGCATCCTTCTTTGCTGCTGTCGACTTGCAGTGTGACATCCTTTGAAGGATCAAAATAAGCCAGAACTGGAGTTTCTGTCAACTTATGCTTCAAAGTCTGAAATGCTGACTCACATTTGCTGTCCCAGTTCCACTTTTGGTCTTTAC